TTTTGTGTTTGTCTATCATTAATTACATATAAATTAAATATCAGTTTTCAAAAATAATTAATTATGAATCAAATCATTTATAAAAATAGTGTAAAAATTTATGATATAAGTTTGTTTTATTAAAACTAAATTAATTATTTATTACAATTCTTCTTCAAAAAAAGTATATGTTACAATTTTTAAAATAGATCTTTTATATTCTAATCCCTGCCAAAATATGTCAATTATCATGTTTTCAAAAAAAAATCGTAACTAATTAAGTATCATATACAACAACAATAATAATATTAATAATACAGAGTAATAAGAATAAGAATAATAATATTAAAATGTGATGCAAAATCCATCCTTTATATTGCTAAATTCACTCCATTCATAAAAAATTTAAAAATTTGTCTTTTGAATTGCCATGGGTGGATCTGATCGATTAAACTTGAACTATTATGCATCACAGTTCAACTTTTTTTACTATGAGGGCCAAAAAGTTTTTACTTTCTTTTTTAAGTTTTATTACTCATCACTTGATAAATTAATACTCCGTATAATATAGTCAGATCTAAATATTTTGTATATATTTTTATGTAACTTTCAAATATAAAAATTATTTTTAAAAAAAAATTCACCTGATTTTCATATTAATTAAAACCAAAATAAATAAATCAATCATCATTATGTTCGTGTTCACCTCTTTTCGGGGTCACAATGAATTTGAATCGGTCTTTTAATTATTTTAGACTATTTTTTATTTAGCAAAGATCATGTGTCATGAATTCTAAATTTGGAAATTTTATATCTTTTTGATTGTGATTTTAACATTTTTTTTCTATTTGTGGGACTGTATATAAATGAGTGGGGATACACCGAACCATTTGGTTGTGGAGAGGCACTATTTGTGATTTAAACATTTCTTTTTTAAAGTTATAACATTTATTTATCTATGGGCAATGCTACGTTCACAAACAGAAGGATCACAAACTTCACAAACTTACTATTTATGGTTTAAATTCTAATTTTAAAATTATTTTAGACTATTTATTTTTCTTTATTGAAGTTTAAAAATACTAAGTTTGTGAAGTTTGAATTTGTGAACCAAACATTTCCCTTTATCTATTTTCTAATTTTTTTTATCTACACCTAAGACTGTGTGGTGGAGAGACAATTGTATACACTTGAAGTATATCTTTTGGTGTACAACAAGAATTTTTCTAGTGCATATAAACTATACAAAGAAAAATATTAGGCTTCCTTACACTATGCTACCATAACTCCATGAGCCAATATAGAAAATGATCAATTAATTAATATTAATCTCCATATAGAATTTTCTTAATTGCAGACAAGTTAGCTACTTAAATCTATCACTCATACTTTTAAGGGGTCTCCTACCAACCACACTATTGTTATCTATACATACACACACATCTAACAGTTTACTGATATCACACAAAAATTAAAGCTAGCATATTATATACTCCGTATTTTCTAAAGCCCAATCCTAGCCTTTAGCGTTTCCGCTCTCCAGCGTGCGACGAATCCCTTATGTGTTTTTCGCCGATCTGGGCTGATCGTGTAATCATGCGCTGCTGATTTCTGTGCGATTGTATCCCTTCTGGTTTTTGTGCGCCGCTGATAGGTCCTCTTCAGGTTTATGCGCTGTATTTTTTTTTTCTATGTGACTGTGCGCTGCTGCTGATCGGCAATCTTGGCTAGTGTATTAATTTGCAAGTTGTGGATTATAATTTGATCGGCAATCTTGGCTTGCTGCCAAATTGGATTATAATTTGCTTGCCAAATTGTGGCTTTTATTTAATTTGCAAGTTGCAAAGTGCGCTGGTGTCTCTTCCTGTTGTCATTTGTTTTTGGGAATTATTGTTGCTTCCAATTATTGGATTGGAGATAATTCTGTTCAAACAGGCATTACTTTGTGATTCTTTGGTTTTCTCTGTTGCTTCTGCACCATCAATTTCTGAATAATTGCAAGGTCCGTCTTCTACAATATCTTGTGAATGGCTTGTGGATAGTGGTGCATCTCATCATATGACAGGTTTATTGCATTGTTTGACTGATGTTGTGCCGCGGCCTCCTTGCACTATCAGTTTGCCCGATGGAACTCACGTGGTGGCCAACTCTTATGGCCGTGTGCAAGTGTCCCCTTCCCTAATCTTGCACAATGTTTTATATGTTCCCAATTTGAAGTGCAATTTGATATCAGTGAGTTGTCTTGTCAACTCACATAACTGTTATGTTTTCTTTGATGATCATTTTTGTGTGATACAGGACCGAACTACGAAGATTCGGATTGGTCAATGTGAAGCACGCAACGGAGTCTATGTCTTTCCCTCTCAAGCCCAAGCGTCTAAAGCTGAGTCTGTTTCCTTGTTACACAAGCGTCTTGGCCACCCATCTCCACAAGTTCTGTCTCTCCCTCCGTTTAATAAGAGCCATACTGAAATTAAAAATTTTCAGTCTTGTGATATTTGTTTCTTCTCCAAACAGACTCGTTCTAAATTTTCTCCTA